ACCTCCCACTCCTTCTCCGTGTTACTGAATAAGATATATGTATATATATTGTATGTATGTATATATATATATATATATATATATATATATATATATATATATATATATATATATATATATATATATATATATATATATATATATATATATATATATATATATAAATATATAAATAATGAATGTGTCCTCAGTAATGCAACAAATTAAAGTTTACAAATTTAAAATGATCTTTATTTCACCTAAACATTACTAGCTTCAAGAATAAAGAACGAACCACCATCCTTCAGTAATTAACTATCATCTTTAAGTATTTCAACTATCATCCTTAGGTACTTCAACTATCATCCTTAAGTGGTGATGATGATGATGATGATGATGATGATAATAATAATGGCAATGATTTGCCATGGGAAGAGAGAGAGGAGGAAAGGTGTGAAACAGGAAGTAAAGTATAGGCATTCATATACTCGTAAATCTATGCATGCACATGACGTATATTTATCCAGTAGAGGATATTTAATTCAGCTACAGGTATATGGCGTTGTCGAGTGTTGGACAAAAGCTAGTCTATTACGTTCTGTTATGTGTTTATTTATTCGTGTTTTTGTTATTGACAGCCCCAGTATTTTTCCTTCGTTTGAGTATTGTAGTTCTTCGTTGTTTGCTGTGATTGGTGCTGGGTTTATCCTTGAAATGTGTAAGATTTTCAGTTTCTGTGTATTAGTTTTTATTTTCCATTTCTTCTCGTAATTATTGATTTGTATTATGGCGCGAGCTGTTTTTAATGCCATCATCTGTTTGGCCTTGCCTGGATGGCGGATGATCTGGGTGACATCATCAGCATATGCAATGTATTCACCGTGAATTGGTGGCGGCATGTCTTAAGTACTTCAAATATCATCCTTACTTCAACTATTAATTACTTCAACTATCATCCTTAAGTACTTCAATTATCATCCTTTTCTATGGTCGTAAGTTAAAAGAGCTACACGAGTTTCTACCACATTCACCAGAAGACGTACAACACCTGCTAGTGGAGACAGTCTACTAACCCCTTGTGTACTGGGGTGTGTCTGGTGCCCCCGTAGTGAAGGGGTTGAAATAAAATGTCTGGGGTTTCAGTATTTCCTCCGCGTTGTTTTGCTGTGAACTGACTATCAATGCAGAAACGATATTTTGCTGTGAAATTCATACAAATATAACTTAATTTAACCTCACCAACTGATCATTGAACTTGTTATAGCTAAGTTGGGTTAGGTTAGGTTGGTACGTCTTCTTAGTCAACAAGAATTTCACGGTAAGACTCTGTGTGTGTGAGTGAGTGAGTGAGTGAGTGTGTGTGTGTGTGTGTGTGTGTGTGTGTGTGTGTGTGTGTGTGTGTGTGTGTGTGTGAGTGAGTGTGTGTGAGTGTGTGTGTGTGTGTGTGTGTGTGTGTGAGTGTGTGTGTGTGTGTGTGTGTGAGTGTGTGTGTGTGAGTGAGTGAGTGTGTGTGTGTGTGTGTGTGTGTGTGTGTGTGTGTGTGTGTGTGTGTGAGTGTGTGTGTGTGTGTGTGTGTGAGTGTGTGTGTGTGTGTGTGTGTGTGTGTGTGTGTGTGAGTGAGTGTGTGTGTGTGTGTGTGTGTGTGTGTGAGTGAGTGTGTGTGTGTGTGTGAGTGAGTGAGTGTGTTTACGAGACTACTGTTCTCGGTCCTCCCCAAAATCTAATTAATTTTGAATTTATTATTTTTCATCTGCAATTTTTATCACAAATCATTTATTAGATTTGCAAAATGTTTTAAATGTTTTATATTTTACTGAATATCACCAAATGGTCGTCGACTCTAACTGAATGTAGGACGTTTGGGCCATGGGTCAAATTAATATAAATAACAACATAATATTCTAAGCTAAGCTAATCAAAAGGTTCATGATTGGAAGGTTTTCACGTCCACTCTACACACAGCTCGTGGCTCAAACGCCCGTATGGCCACCAACGTCACCAAAGGGGGGTTAGGTTAGGTTAGGTTAAGTTAAGTTAGGTTTGGTTTCCTGTTAGGTTAGATTAAGAACATAAGAAAATAAGGAGTCTGCAATAGGCCGGTTGGCCTATGCATGGCAGCTCCTGTCGAGAGTTACTACCACTCTATCATCCATGAATCTATCTAGCCTCCTTTTAAGAATTTCCAGCGTTCCAGCACTTACTACAAAGTTGCTAAGCTTGTTCCACTAGTCCACCACCCTATTTGTGAACCAGTTCCTTCCTATCTCCCTCCTAAACCTAAACTTATCCAACTTCAATCCGTTGCTACGAGTCCTATCCTGCTCGGATATTATAAGAACTTTATCTATATCCCCTTTATTGATTCCTTTCACCCACTTAAATACTTCTATCATATCTCCCCGCACTCTTCGTCTTTCTAGGGAATGCAAGTTTAGTTTCTTTAACCTATCTTGATATGGAAGGTTTCTAAGTCCCGAAATCATTTTCGTCATTCTTCGCTGCACCGACTCTAGTGAATTGAAATCCATTGTATAATAGGTTTGTTGTTAAGTTAGGTTAGGTTGTTTCATCGTCATGTGAAGAAATAAGCTGGGGGAAGTTATGTGGATCACCTGAAGAAACTCCATTTTACTTACATTCCTATTTACTGCTCACTTAATTTACTTATTTATTTTACTTGCATACTTACTTACCGCCTTAACTTACTTTTTCACTTTCTTTCCTTACTTGCTTGCTTCGTACTTACTTATTATAGTCCTTTCTTACTACTATGCTCTTGTTACTTGTTTGCTTATAACTAGTTACATTTACTTACTATTACTTATGAAAAAAATAAATAAAAAACCTGGCAGGCAGACGAGAGAAATATAGACTCTCTCAAAATGATACGTAACATATTACCACAACCTGTTTCAAAACCTATTAACTCTAATACGCTAGATAGCTTCAAACATAGCTTGGGTGGATATATGAACGATAGGGGTTGGGTGTAAACGGGACTGCCCAGTTAAAAAATAATAATTACATTAACGGTATACTAATTAATACTGTAGCTATAGAAAGATATAATAGAATTTGGATTTAGTGATATATGAGAGGAGGTCACGCCTTACTGACCTCTCACTATGGTCACCCTTCGACCTCTCACTATGGTCACCCTTCGAAGGTTAAGGTCACATGCTTCAGAGAAAAGGTTTGATTAGCGTATGACAGCCAATACCACACAGGGGTAAATAAGCGTGGGCGTCTCGGGTAAGATAATCACCACTACTTTAATTCTCATGGGAGAACACCTGCACTAACCCTCTGTGACCTTCCACCTGAATTAAGAACCGTGCTGGGCGGGGCTCCTTGGTCACGAGTTGGCAGGAGTTATAATATACAGGTATAATTGTGTTGGCAGCGTACTTAATATTGGAAGAACAAATACTGACAATTTATACAGCCTTAACAACATCAACCTAGAGAAGTCGACTTGTGAAAGAGACCTAGGGGTACTTGTAAGCCCGGACCTATGGCCTAGAAAACAGTGCGTTAATGTTCGAAATAAGGCAAACAGAGTATTGGGTTTTATATCTAGAAGTGTAAGTAATAAGAGTGCAGAGGTCTTATTGCAACTATATCGTGCGCTCGTCAGGCCGCACCTCGATTATGCGGTTCAGTTCTGGTGCCCCTATTATAGAATGGATATAAATTCAGTAGAGTCGGTGCAGCGAAGAATGACAAAAATGATTCCGAGACTTATAAACCTTCCATATCAGGATAGGTTAAAGAAACTTAACTTGCATTCCCTAGAAAGACGAAGAGTGCGGGGAGATATGATATAAGTATTTAAGTGGGTGAAAGGAATCAATAAAGGTGATATAGATAAAGTTCTTATAATATCCGAGCAGGATAGGACTCGGAGCAACGGATTCAAGTTGGATAAGTTTAGGTTTAGGAGGGAGATAGGAAGAAACTGGTTCACAAATAGGGTGGTGGACGAGTGGAATAAGCTTAGCAACTTTGTAGTAAGTGCGGGAACTCTGGAAAGTTTCAAAAGGAGGCTAGATAGATTCATGGATAGAGAGTGGTAGTAACTCTCGACAGGAGCTGCCATGCACAGGCCAACCGGCCGATTGCAGACTCCTTATTTTCTTATGTTCTTATGTTCTCTCTCTCTCTCGCTCCAGGGCGCATAATTAGCGGTTTTATATTTACTTCTCTCCATGATATCACTTCTTAAAGACATCGACAGACAGACTCTTCCACTCCTCCACCTCCTACACCTCCTCCACCTCTTCCACCCCTCCACATCCCTGACCTCCCCAGACCTTCAGTAATGGGGAACAAAATTGGCCATCGTCTGCATGTGTACCCAGTAGAGTTCGCCTACAGCACTCCAATTAACATAACACAACGGAGGAACGACACAGTTTAAAATAACACTGTATCTTCTTAGTGCTGTGCTTTTGCTGTGTTAAGTCTTGGTGCTGTGTTGCTGCGGGTCTTAGATTCCTGCAGTGCTGTGTTGGTTATATCCTGTCCCTTTCTGTTAACGTAGTCTTATGCAGCAACTCTCACAACAGGAGTCCAGGAACACGGGGGCGTCTTTTCTGCTTGGCCATCTATGATCTTACTAACTTCTTCAGCTAAACTTGTCTGGCGTCTCTTCACAGTGCTCTACGGGGTATAACTAAACTTAAAATGACCTGAATATTAGGTAGCATAGCCTTATTTAACCCAGCCATGATTAAACACTCCTTTAGATGTGTGTGTGTGTGTGTGTATCATTTTCTTCCGTCTTTCTTTCCATCCTTCATTCCTTCTTTCTTTAATACAAACAGTAAAAACATCCCACAACAGCATGGTCTTGTAAACAGAAACCTTGTCTCCCCTCCCGAAGAAAAAAAAAATGAAATGTGTGTGTGTGTGTGTGTGTGTGTGTTGAGGTTTAATGTCCGAGTGTTTTTATTCGTATATTTACTAGAAAGAAGAAAATACAGGAAAATAAGAGCATAAATTGCGATATACAAACGTCTTATATTTCTGTACACAAACACAGCTACACCTTGGAGGAGTTAGTCTTGAGGAGGAGCCGCTGTACCTCAGGTCGTGTCATCAGAGAGTCGTCCCTCCTCACAAACACATAGTCAATAGCGGCGGCCAGAACCACATAGCCCTTGTCTCTCATGAGGCTCATAAACTCATCGTCAAATTGATTGTACTCATTTTCTGCCACGATGACCCTGATGGTGATATTACTGGAGGTGAGGAAGTTTCTGATGACGAAGGCCTCAGTGCCCTGTATGTCCAGCGAGAGGAGATCGACGGAGGACACGGTGAGGGCCGCCAGATAGGACACGAGGGGGAGGCACTGTACGGTGGAGTACGACGTGTCGTCTAAAATGTCGTGTTTGGATTGATTGACGTCATCACGCAATTCATGGCCGTGGGATCTGGCAGCCCACGGTGACAAATTCGTCTGAATCTTGGTAAAACGAGACACGAAAAGTGTGTCTTTGGGGTACAACTCTGAGGAGAGACAAGTGTTAGATGACCAAGCCCGTCGATGTGTGTCCCTGAGGGCCTTGTAGTTGATCACGTCAGCCTCAATCAAGAGCCCCGTCCAGCCCAGCTCCTGCTCCAGCCACAGGGTGTTGGAGAGATACTCGCCGTCTAGGGCGCCAGCTTCCACGAAGAATCCGCCCCGCTGCTCGGAGAAGAGCAGCTGTAGGAAGTGGTGGATCCAGGGCCAGGTGAACTGGTCCTTTCCCGTGGAATACCGGAGGTTGGTGGAGAGGTTATAGGGGAGGGTTGAGGGAGGGTCCAGGTAGGTGTCCGTCACTACCTGCAACACGCGAGGATCATCACCTGCCAGAGGACCGCTCAGCCTGGCCGCCACCTTGTCCCACCTGGTCGAGGACTCCTGGGGAGACACACACGTTAAATACAGTAACTATAAAACCAGTCTCGTGTCCACAGATCATTACCAACAAACATCACTACCAACAACTCGGAAAAATTACTGACAAAGCATCAATACAAACACATAATTTCTATATACATTATAACCTCAGTAATTACACGATTCAGTGATTACAGTTACAATAATCCACCATAGAAGGCGAATTTATATCACGTTATGAGAGTTCCAGTGATCCCTTAGTCATCAACAACAGTAAAGCGAGACGTAAAACAGTGAAAAGTAGATCACCACCTGACCCGCCATAACACTCGACGCTGATCACACTTTAAGGTTTACTTAATGACTTTCTGGATGAAGAACACACACTCACCTGCTGGAAGAACACCCAGGGGAACATAACAGCAGGGATGAACACTAAAACACACAGCTCCTTCGGCGGTCTAGCCATCTTTTTCAGCTAAATGAGTTTCAGTCGATTTTTGTTCACTCAATGTCAGTTACGTTTCCGTTCAGTACTGTACTTGACCAACTTCACTTCCCACAACTGTCAACTTGGGTACCCATTCCCAACTGGGTGGATTCGGAGTATCCTAACCGCGAACAAGCGTCTCTGTATCCACTTAAATACACTGTGCTACCACTTATTTATATCTGTCTGTCTCTCTGTCTGTCTGTCCTCTCTCTCTCTCCCTGTATCTGTCTATCTGTCTCTCTCTCTGTTTATCTCTCTCTGTTCCTGTCTCCGTGTAGTCTCTCTCTCCCTCTACGAAATAAGACCAGGACCAGAGAGTGACAAGGCCAAGCTGACGAGGAAAACACACACTATATTTAGCCTGGCGGGGAGGATTGTGGGGGCTATTTTCCTGGTGCTGGAGGGAAGAGTCTCTCTCTCTCTCTCTCTCTCTCTCTCTCTCTCTCTCTCTCTCTCTCTCTCTCTCTCTGCCATGTTTATCTGTGCGTCAATGTCCTTGTTTGTGTGTTAGTAACTGTGTCTTTGTCATTTTGCGTATTAATAATGTTGTTTGTGTGTACGATCGACCGTAACAAGTGTGACTCATTCGGAGCTGTGTGTGTGTGTGTGTGTGTGTAGCAGGTAGTGTGTACACGTGGAGGGTTACTGATCTTATATGAGGAAAATAAGGCACAGATAAGTGACGTATCTATCTATATATATCGTCTTTTTTGTCTATCTGATTATCTTACTACTACGACTACTATTACTACTACTATTACTAGTACAATCATCACTTTAAATCCTAGGAGTAAAATAGTCGCCATCAACAATTGGTAACTCAAATGGTCGAAAAACCCCTTCAGAGACGCTGCACTTATGCTCCTATTACCGACCTAATACCCTATTAACTTGTCTTTTAACATATGAAGTTACATTTATTTACCATTAAAGGATATAAAAAAGTTACTTATTATTGAAGTGAGTGGAAGTAATGTCGTTTTATATACAATTGTCCGGGTATTTTTATTCGGGAAGCGCCATGACGTCATTAAGTGTCAGGGGTACCAACATAACCACACATTATTTATTTATTTATTTATTTGTTGCTTGTGTCTCTTATTCCTCATTAATCATCATTTTCCTTATTCTCTCCTTTCCTCGTTTTTATCTCACATTCTCGTTTATTCTGTTTTATTATCCAATTTGTTTCCTTTCAAGATTTTTCCAAACATTAACTTAGCGGTAAGTGATTTTTTTTGCCAGAGTGTCAGTCTTGTGAGCCCACCCACCCAACCAGCCACTCTCCAACCCACCCACCCACTCACCCGCCCACCCAACCACCCACTCGCCCCCACCCCCCCACTCGCCCCCCCACCCACCCCTCGCCCCCACTCCCCCCTCCCACCCACTCACCCGCCCACACGCCCCCACCCACCCACTCACCCGCCCACCTCAGTAACAATTCTTCCTTCATTAGTTTTATACATTTCCTCCTCACACTACCCCATTAATCTCTCAGCTCCAATAATTGTGTGTGTGTGTGTGTGTGTAAGAGATTGTGTGAAAGATAGATGAGAGACGAATGAAATATGAGTACAGCAAGAGAAGAGAACAGAAGAGAAGAGTTTGGGCTACTCTCACTCATATAACCGGGTATGCATTTTTAACTTATGTAGAAAATATATTAACATGAACTACACAGATAGACAAAGAGACAGACAGACAGAGAGATAGACAGACAGAGAGACAGACAGACAGAGAGATAGACAGACAGAGAGATAGAACTCACACACACACACACACACCGAGTAAGAACGATCCGTCAATCATCATTCTCGTGTTTTTGTGTTTTCCAGACAACCTCCAGGTGACAGAATCCTAGGTGTATTCAGCAGCGTGCTTGAGGAAGTAGAACACACACACACACACACACACACACGAACCACAAAGAAAATAACACCCACAGAGACAAATTAAAACTAGGTTACATACATGAGACCTTGAAACAGTCCGGGTTACATAAAAATGGGGTAAGGCTGAATGACATGCGTGGAAATTCAGTCGTGGGTTTTATTCATCAGGTTTAGAATATTCAGGGAGCGCCGCACGATTCCCTTCCTGAATATGCAATCTTGTTTACACGGTCACGTTTTATGGAATCACTTCACGTTGAGCTCAGAGACGTGGAGCAGTGAGTGTAGCGCGAGTGTTTGTGTGGGTGGGTGTGGGTGTGTGTGTGTGTGTGGGTGGGTGTGTGTGTGTGTGTGTGTATGGGTGTGTGTGTGTGTGTGGGTGTGTGTGTGTGTGGGGGGGTGTGGGTGTGGGTGTGTGTGTGGGGGGTGTGGGTAATAATAATAATAATAATAATAATAATAATAATTAACGGTTTATTGAAAAAGTTCTGCAGCCCGAAGGCTGAAAATATACATTGGACATAAATGACTTATTACATACATTGGTGGTTTAACAAAAGCCTTCATTAGAGAAAGGTGAAGGAACATACAGTGAATACAGATTAATGTAGGTGTTGAACAGCAAACTCGTAGTGTAGTAACTCCCTCCCAGATGGTGTTAGGAGGAACTCGCGTGGTGTAGTAGTTCCCTCAGATGTTGTTATGAGGGACCTGGCGTGGTGTAGTAATTCCCTCGCTGATGGTGTTATGAGGGACCTCACGTGGTGTAGTAATTCCCTCGCTGATGGTGTTATGAGGGGCCTCACGTGGTGTAGTAATTACCTTACAGATGGTGTTATGAGGGACCTCACGTGGTGTAGTAATTCCCTCACAGATGGTGTTATGAGGGACCTCACGTGGTGTAGTAATTCCCTCGCTGATGGTGTTATGAGGGACCTCACGTGGTGTAGTAATTACCTTACAGATGGTGTTATGAGGGGCCTCACGTGGTGTAGTAACTCCCTCACAGATGGTGTTATGGGGGGCCTCACGTGGTGTAGTAATTACCTCACAGATGGTGTTATGAGGGACCTCACGTGGTGTAGTAATTACCTCACAGATGGTGTTATGAGGGGCCTCACGTGGTGTAGTAACTCCCTCACAGATGGTGTTATGAGGGGCATCACGTGGTGTAGTAATTCCCTCACAGATGGTGTTATGAGGGACCTGACGTGGTGTAGTAACTCCCTCACAGATGGTGTTATGAGGGGCCTGACGTGGTGTAGTAACTCCCTCACAGATGGTGTTATATGAGTGAGGTTTGGTCCCAGGCCTTCCTATCGTAGACGGATTAACACATCGCTGGTTATCACGGGCGCCAGGTACGTCTTGACCCTTCTGTGGTCAGTGGGTGTGTGGGTGTGCGGCTGTGTGTGTGTGTGTGGGTGTGTGTGGGTGGGTGTGTGTGGGTGTGTGTGTGTGTGTATGAGTGTGTATGAGTGTGTGTGGGTGTGGGTGTGTGTGTGGGTGTGGGTGTGTGTGTGTGTGTGTGTGTGTGTGTGACGCTTAAAAGCAAAGGTGGTTCTGATGGCCTGAGTTTACGTTATATTAGTCATTAAGCTTTTATTACTATTACACATACACTAGCTATCCTGCCCTCACAAACACACCCTCCTCCCACACACACACACACACCCCCCACACACCCCCACACACTACCACCCCCCACACACACACCACCACCCCACACACACACACCACCACCCCACACACACACCCGTCCCACACACACACCCCCCACACACACCCCTCCCCACACACACACCCCACACACACCACCACCCCACACACACACCCCACACACACCACACCCCCACACACCCACCCCCCACACACACACCACCCCCACACACACACCCCCCACACACACACCCACCCCCCACACACACACACCCCTCCACACAAACACCCCCCACACACACCACACCCCCCACACACACACCACCACCCCACACACACCACCCCCACACACACACACCACACCCCCACACACACACCCTCCCCACACACACACACCCCACACACACCACCACCCCCACACACACCCCACCACCCCACACACCACCACCCCCCACACACACCACCACCCCACACACACCACCACCCCACACACACACCACCCCCACACACACACCACCACCCCACACACACACCCTTCCACACACACACACCCCCCACACACACACTACCACCCCCACACACACACCACCACCCCCCACACACACACCCCCTCCCACACACACACACACCCCCCACACACCACACCCCTCTCCCACACACACCCCCACACACACCACCCCCCCACACACACACCACCACCCCACACACACCACCACCCCCACACACACACTACCACCCCCCACACACACACTACCACCTCCCCACACACACACACCACCCCTCCATACACACACATACCACCCCCCACACACACACACCCTCCCACACACACCCCCCCACACACACTACCACCCCCCCCAC